AGGAAGGAGACCTGCCTCCAGCCACTGCAGCAGAGTCGGGAGCTCTCTGGAGGGTAACACGGTCCTGGGGACTGCGGTGATGGGAAGAATTGGCCCCAGTCTGTGCCGGGGGTCCCAGCCCCTGCCCTGGGCTGGGCGGCTGCTCATTCTGCCCAGAAACCAAACCTGAAACAGAGAAAGGGAAGGGGAAGTGATACCTCTTATCTGATGGCAATAACATGAACGTGGCTTGGGAAATTCCCCTAGTTTCTCCACCAAAGTGGTTCTTTGAAAAAGTGCTTCTAGCTGCTTTTGGGTAACTGAGCTGCCCTCAAAATCCCCAGCCAGCAAATGCCTTCGTAGGCGCCTTCCCCGCACACCTTCCAGCCGGAGCCTCCACCTCTGAGCCGCTTCTCCCAATCCTCCTCCCGCCCCGAGGGAACGGTGGGAAGGGCTCACGGCGCTTTGCCGGGCAGTGGCAGGGATGCCTGCGCATCTCCCGCATCTCTCCGGTCCTCGCAGGGTAACTTGGTGGCTGCCTCTCCTGCCCGATGGGTTCCCAGGTAGGTTGACACCTTCTCGTTTGTGTTTGGAAGAGCTCGGTCCTCTGCCGTATCCCACGGCTCAGCGCTGCTGTATGTCAGCAGCTCTCGTGTACTGTCAGCAGGACACCATCACCAGTGTCCCAGTCACACCAGGGCTGGCTCCGGGCGCCACAGACTCCGGGGCAGATGGAAACTAAACCCCAGCTCCTCCAGCTGCTGCTCCTCATGCATGCAGCCCAGAGGAGCCCAGCGCACGGGGACCAGCGGGAGCAGAGCATGGGCCACTGGCCCATAGTGGTTTGGCCATCCTCAGCGTATTTCTCCTCTTCAGCATCAGGTTTTCCCCTTTGAAGAGCTGAAGTTAATTTTTCATCAGCTCTGAAACTCTTAAACAGACAGTGAAGGCTGAGTTCAGCCTCTTGAGGTCTTTGCCTAAGCCGTCCCACTGCTTCCGACACCCTTCTCAGCTCCCCGGCCGCCGGAGCTGCTGACAAGGGTGAAGTTACGACTCAGGCTGAGTGAGTTTGGAAAGAAGTGGTTGGTGCGGGTCTCCCTGGCCCGGAGGAGCAGCTGTACGCGCTGCCCTGAGCTAGAGGAGCGAGGCGGCACCCAAGCCCTGGGGGAAGTGGAGCCGGGGCAGGAAGCCGAGGCGCGGCACTGCAGCGGCGACGGGCGCCTTCCAGGGTGGCTGGTGCCCGGTGTGGCTGCTGCCGGGGACGTGTATCTCCGGGGAGTGAGGGCTGAGCCTGCAGCCACCCGGTGAGCGGGATGGGGGAAAAGCTCCTGGTCTGGATCTGGATTCTCCTCCCAGGTGAGAGAGGGATCTTCTTGTGTTGATGGGAGTGGGTAAGGGCTCACCGGGGCTATGCCGACCTTCCAAAATCTGCGTCCTCATCCAGCAGTGATGGAAATGCCTTATGGATATATTTCTTCCATACTTCCCCCTCTGCCAAGAACTGATTAATTATTTCAATCCACGGAGAGGCTGCCAAACTTTTCCAGCTCACAGATCCCTAAAACCACCCTGCGGGAGGCTGCAGGGAGCCTGCAAATCCTGCGACCCCCCTGCCCCATGCCATGAGAGCAGCAGGCAGGGCAGGCAGGGTGAGCTTCTACCTCGTCCTTGCCAGCAGAGATGGCTTTAACAGAAACCCCAGCGCTTTGGGGTGGGCAGCAGCGTCCCAGGGGGGTTTGGCTTTGGGGGAGGGCAGAGGTGAAGCTCCCCAGGGGGCTGCAGAGCAGGGGGATATTTGGCATTTTTTCTTTTCTTTTAAATGTGACGCCGGGAGAGCCTGGGGGGGAACTGCCCTGCCCAGGGCTGGCGGGGCAGCTCATCTTGGAAGAGCCCACTGGCAGAAGCAGAAGTGGATTTCCAGGCACTGGGGTTTCATGGGGATGCAAAGAGAGACTGAGCGGTTCCCCCCCATGCCTCCCTCCCTCCTCGGCCCCTGGCCCCACACAGCCTCCCCCCCACCTCGGACCCAGTGCATCTCCAGCACCCACGTCTGCACAGCCCCTGGCAGCCCTGCTTCGGGCAGGACCCCTGGGCTCAGCCCTGCTTGCTATGGGAGAGGTTTTTTGGGGGGCAGCACGAAGAAGCTCGTGTGGCAGGGGGACGGGCAGTGGGCTGGGGACTGGCAGGAGGCTTGTGCATGGGCTTGTGCTTGCCCAAAGGCTGGCACGGTCTCCGTCCCTGCAGGATGCTGGGCTCTGCGGGGCCCCGCGGAGGTGAGCGGCTTCCCAGGGGGCTCCGTGGAGGTAACCTGCGAGTACGAACCAGAGCTGGTAAATGCCAGTAAGTACTGGTGCAGGGGCAGCAGCTGGTTTTCGTGCTCCATCCTCGTTCAGACCACAGTCCCCGGGGACGAGGCGTGGGGGGACAGGGTGTCCCTGCGAGATGACCCCACTGGGCACGTGTTCGTGGTGACCATGGAGAACCTGAGAGTGGAGGACAAGGATCAGTACTGGTGTGGGATCCAGGTAGCATGGTATGACCCCATGTTCCCCGTTGTGGTGTCTGTTCTCCCAGGTAAGCGCCTGGCGTGGCCATTCTGCTTTGATGGAGGCTGGAGGGGCAGAGGGAACGGAGAGAGGGAAGGCTTGGGAGGGAGGGGCAGAGGGACTGGAGAGAGGGGAGGCTTGGGAGGGAGGACAGGTATAGCCCAGGAGAAGAAATCCCCCTCCCAGCTGCCTTTGGTGACCCCCCAGCATCCTCCACCTCGCTCCCACCGTGCATACAGCCCCCCTGGGGCCATGCTTGGCGTTTCCCAGCCACCCCCCATCACCTCCCCACCAGCAGCCTCTGGGGCCCCAAAGCCCCCCGTTACCAACCTCAGCCACAGCCCAGGAGCAGGTAACGCACCACAGCGCTTTGCTTCCCATCTGTCTACACCACAGTGCCCGAGACAACACACTGTGACCTCCACACAACACAGGGGGAAGAGGCCACAACTGCTCCCACCTTCCCATGGACTCCCCTGGAGCTGGAAAACACCGTGTCCATACCGAAAGTCACCCTGCAGGCTGGGTGAGTGCCAGGGCCACCGGGGAGGAGAGGGACCATCCCCAGCGCAAGGACCAGGCAGCTCGAGGATGCAGCATCCAGCTCCAGGCTGCCCACCGGGCTTTGGGGCCAGTGGGACACGTCTGGAGAAAGGAAAACGTGATGCTAAGGGGGCTGCTGTATCCCTGCATGCTGTAGGGCTGCACTGGCTGGGGCTCCCAGGGTCTTCGCCCAGCTCCCACAGGGCTGCCAGGGACCCCGACACCCCAGGCAGGCGTGTGCCACATCTGGGCACTTGTCCGTGGAGGTGGGGGATGTATCTGCAGCTGGCTCATGCCAAGCTGGACAGCCTTTGCGTGTACACATGCATGGATCCCTGGCCAGGAAACCTGGGAGAAATCCTTGGAACAGCCTTGCCAGCCCACGGAGTCTCATGCTCCCAGGGTTGTGCTAAATACAGGCACGAAAGCCCTCCCCGGGGCCCAGGGCTGCAGAGGGGGCAGCGCAGAAGGGCAGTAACACCCTTTTCTCCCCTCCTAGCACCCCAAACCTGCTTGTCGTGGTCCTGACACCCTCTGTTATGCTGGTGCTTGTTTTGGGCATCATCATCTGCTGCAGGATGAGAAGAGCATCACCGGAGAGGAGCGGAGGTACAAGTGATCTGGGGGCCCAAGCTGTGGCTCTGCTCTGCAGGGTGGCTGCAGGGGTCCCCACGCTGCTCCCCAGCACCCGTCCCCCCACCCCAGCTCACCGCATGCTGCCCTCCCGCTCCCATCCTGGGGGTGAGCAGGGCTTGGGGTGAAAGGGGCTGGAGCCCTCCCCAGGACCCCAACCCACTGAGCCCCACAGTCCAGGGGGCTCTTGGCAAAGTCAGGCCAGACCTGAGGTTGCACAGGAACCGATGGGACACCCATGGGGAAGGGCTTGGGCCCCCCCCAAATGCTCCCCTTCAGCAAAGGGAGCTCCATGGTTGGTCTGACCCATTTCTCTTGCTCTTCCCCCAGCAGCCTGGGCTGTGGAGAGGAAGAGGGACAAGGACCTCCAGGTACCGCGGGTGGGGGGCAGTGGGACGGGGGTCTTGTGATGGCTCCTCCATGAGGGAGCCACTGCCTGGAGCCCCCCTTGTCCTCAACACACCTCATCCCCTCCAGGTCACTGCAAGCTGGGAGCGAGCAGATGCTTCCAATCACATCTACACAAACAGGCAGTGGAAGCTCAGCTCGCCTGAGGATGACTATGAGAACAGCCCGGCCAAGTGGCAGGTAATGGGGCTGGGGCAGCTCCCCAAGCATGCAGCAAGTTACCCCATGGGTGCTCCTTGCTCCCAGCCCTGCAGCGAGGAGGAGCTGCCCCGCTTCGGGGAGCAGCGAGGAGGAGCTGCCCCGCTTCGGGGTCACGCTACTTCCCTGCCAGCCTTGCCCTTCCCTTTAACAGCCTGGCCCAGGCAGCAGCTATCAAACCCTGTAGGAACAGGCGTTACGTAGACACAAGCTTTTAGGGCTCTAGCATAGGCAGACCTGCAAAGTGCCCTAATTCTTCACATTTCTCCCTCATTTCAGGACTTTGAAAAGGGAGACAAAGTTTCCATTTCCAGAGCTCCAGAACTGCAGTCGATCTACATGAACACCCGCTGAGCGGCTCCGTGCTTGGCCCCTCGCTGCCAGGAAGCCCTGTGTCTGGGAAGGGGCATCCCCTGCAGCTCTCCCACCATCCAGGGCGTGTTTCCCTACTGCTTCCCGAGCTCCCTCTGCCTGCCCCATTGAGATTCCCTCTATCCCGCAGAAGCAACCCCCATCCCCTCCGTACCGCGCGAGACTGGGGACCGCAGCGTGCCATGGAGCCCCGCAGTGGGATGTGCACGCCACCGGGCCAGCAGCGCTGTTTATCCCCACCCTGCCATGAGGTTATTAAATGAGATGAGATCGCGAGATTTACGATGTGGCTAAAATACCCCCCAATCAGGGGTTAAAAGCCCAGCATCCCTGGTCCAGGCTGCGGGGAACCAGGGGACGCGATGCCTCGGCAACCCCAGGCCCTTCTCATCCTCCGCAGTTCTTGTGCTCAGCAATAAGGACCACACGGGGAGGTCAGTGTCTGGTCGGAGATGTGACCTCCGGCCCCTCCCCGGCCCCAGTGACTCCGAGGTGCCCCGGGAAGGAGGTGGTGCTGCGGCCGGTGTGGTCACCCTGGTTCCCACACAGCCCTCAGACTTCCGCTTCTTTATTTTTACCTGGCGCCTCATTCCCTTCCCTCCGGCTCTTTGCACAGAGCGAAGGGGCTGAAGGGCAGGGTGGGGTGGAGGGAGGGCCCTGGGGGAGTCTGGCTGCAGGGGGTCCCATCCTGCTCCCCCCAGCCCAACCTCCCATGCAGACATCAGGATTTCAGCTGCGTATCCCAGGTGGGGGAGCTGCGGAAGGAAAAGCCCCTATTTGGGTAGGTCTCGTCATCTACCCAAATATAACTACCCCATTGCAAAATGGAAACCTAAGCAGCAGTTTTAGAAAGAGGAAGGAAAACCACAAGGATGGGAAAAAAAAAGAAGTGGGGAGATGCTGCACAGGCAGCCAAGCTGGAGCTCAGGGCGGGGGGAAGCTCGGCTCCATCCCTGCCCCGCCACGGGCCAGGGGAGCTCCTCTGGGTGCCACTCGCTCCCCAGGGCAAGCCAAGCCCCATCGTCTGCAAGAAGCTCCGGTGCCAAATGGGGAGCAGGAGCACAGGGAGGACCCACTGCCTGCACCAGCTCCAGTGACGCAGCCCTGCTCCCAGTTCTCCCCTGAGCCCCAGCATGGTCATACCTGGGATAAAAAAGCCAGAGGAGGAGGAGGAAGCCCCACATCATTCCAACCACTCTATCCCAGCAAGCACCATCAGCAGAGCCGACCTCCAGCCACCCGGCCACAGCCCTCGGTGCCATACGGCAGCTCCGGGCGATGTCCGGATCACTCCCGCTCCTCCCTCTCCATATATCTCACATCTCCCACTTCCCCCCAGACCAGCCTGGTGCTGCAGACCCCAGCAGAGCCCAGGGCCGGGGCCAGGCACCCGCACCCCTGAGAGCTGGCAGGGCCTGACATGTCCCTTTCAGCCGAAACGCAGCCCAGGGGCTGAGCTGACGCCCTCTGAGTGCCCAGGAGGCTGCACCCATCCCGGCACCGCTCCTTGGCCCAGCCGAGGGGAGCACCAGGACACACAGCCTCCAGCACCCCAGGAATGCAAGGTGGGCTCCGCAAAGATCAAGCAAAGATTAAAACTCCCATGCTGGTTTTGCCCCATTTTGGCATTGGAAGCTCTGCTCAGCTCGTGTGCTCCAGCATCTCTCTGCAGCAGCCGTCTGGGGTGAAAACCCCTCTGCTCCTAAACCCTCCTGCCAAGTGAGGTGCACGGGGTCCTACGTCCCCTTTCTGCGGCTGCCCACCCTCCCTGGTGTGCCTCAGATGTGCCAGTCTGCACAAAGCATCTCAGCAGCTTGTCACTCACAACAGAAAACCCTCAGCCCTGAGGTGAAGCCCGGTCAGATAAAAATAACCCAGCAGCAGAGCAGCCGCCTCTTGCGCGAGCAAAAAAGCAACGAAAGAAGCTGAGAGCGCACATCAGCTCGGCGTCCCTCGCCTGGCTGCTCTGTGCAGGAGGCTGATGTTCGCAGATCTCTGGAGCAAAGCGGGATGATGGGGATATGGCTGGGCTGGGGCTGGCTCCTTCTCCCAGGTGAGGACAGGCTCCGACCGCGCCGGTGATGCTCCAGCTCCAGCTCCGCACCAAGGGGCTGGGGCTGCTGAGCTCCCCAGGGGCACGGGCTCCATGTTGGGCACTGACGGATCCAAAGCCTCCCATCACCGTGGCCTCATGTCTGGGGCTAAAAGCTGGTAGAAGGGGTCTCCCCCAAAGTGCTTCTTTCCACAGGGAGCTGAGAAGGAGGGGCTTGGGGGGGAAGGCTGACTTTGCAGCCCCGTTTCTCTCCGGTGTCGCTGTGGGTTTCTTTGCAGTTTGCCAGGCTCTGGTGGTCCCCAGGGAGGTCAGCGGCCGGGTGGGGGAGAAGCTCTCCCTCCGCTGCTGGTACCCACCGGGCTACGAGGACTACAACAAGTACTGGTGCCGGGGGGCCAGCCGGGACTCCTGCCGCAAGGTGGTGGAGACAGCGGGCAGGGAAGCGCCCCGGCAGCACGGCCGGGTCTCCATCCAGGACAGTCACATCTTCTGCGTGGTTACGCTCACCGTGGAGCACCTCTCCGAGGCAGATGCTGGGAGTTACTGGTGCGGGGTCGAGAGGATGGGCAGGGACCTGATGGAGCCGGTGACAGTGAGGGTGGTCCCAGGTAAGCCCTGTCCAGCTGGCTGGAGGTTTTGCTGGCCAGGACTCTTTCTGGAGAGGCCGCTGGCTCGTGGGCCGGTAGTGGCCTGGGAGGAGGCAGCGTTCCAAGAAAGAGCCCCTGGGACCCAGTATAAACCAGTGGCAGAGGCTGGGAGGGGTGACAGGTTGCTGTCTCCTGGGGATGCTCGCAGAGGCAGGCAGAGTGTGCTGGAGCCCAGTGCAGGGTCCAGCCCCAGGCTGGTTTTGGGGCTCCCGGCACCCATCACGGCGCAGGCAGGATGGCGGAGCCGCTGGTTACGTGTGGCCGCAAGCGCTGATGCTGAGGCCCAGCGCTGAGGCTGGGGAGTGCCTGCCAAACCCCCCCCTGACAGCCAAATGATAGAAGCCGCTGGTTACGTGTGGCCGCAAGCGCTGATGCTGAGGCCCAGCGCTGAGGCTGGGGAGTGCCTGCCAAACCCGCCTCTGACAGCCAAATGATAGAATGCTGAGTTTCCAGACCAGGCAAAGGGGTGGATTCAACACCCCTGCCCTCGGGGAAATCTCTGATTCGCTGGAGAGATGTCTTGCCATGGGGAGACACAGCTCAGAGAGGTGGGGGGCAGCTGGGCAGGCAGGTGCAGGCAGATGCAGGCAGGGCGCATCCCACAGGGGTGCCGGCAGGGCAGGGGCATGTGCTGGAGGGGACACAGGCAAGTATTACTGCCACCACCGCCACCGCCGCGGGGTGAGCCTGGGGCCCGGGGCGCAGGGTGGGCACGGGGAAGGGCAGTGGCTCTCACGCCGAGGGCAGCAGTGGGTGCCCCTGTGCAAGGGGGCTCGCGGGGACACGCAGGGTCTTCACCCATCAGCCTGGGCATTTGGGGGTGATGCAGTGGGGTCCCAGGCTGTTGTCCCCACTGCAGTTCCCACCCCGTGGCTGAGGGGCTGCGGGAGGGCACCGGCACACAGGGCACTGCAAAAACGAAGCCCCAGCCTTGTGAGGGAAGGAACCAGCCCCGCTCCTCTCCCCTCGCCTCCAGCCCCGGGGGGCCAGCCCTGAGTGCCCTGGTGCCTAGCGCGGTCCTGCTCTCCCTCCTGGCTGCCACCGGTTCCGCCGGCCTCCTCTGCACCCTGCGCAGGAGGAGGGAAGGTAACGGTGCCCATGCGCGCCCCGTCCCAGGCACACCCTGGCGCCCATCCCAGGACCTGGGGGACAAACCCACGCTGGGCACGGGGCTGCAGGGATCTCCCCCCTCCCAGAGAGGCAGAAAACTTGCCCCCGTGTCTCTTCTTTCTGGAGCGCTGCCCCCTCGCACCAAAGTCCCCACCGCCCCCTGCAAGCCGGGCACTGCCGCGGAGCCAGACCACAGCCTCATCTACGACAACGAGCTGGACCTGGCAGAGGTGAGGGCCCCCGGTGCAGGCAGCGCGGGCAGTGCAGGCAGCGTGGGCAGGGGCCATGCAGTGCAGTTGCTCACCCTGGGCAGCCCCTGCATGGCCCAGCTGTGCCCCAGGGCTGCGGGGACACGCTGTCCCCTCACCAGGGTGGCTGCAGTGACACGGAGCAGGACCCCAAGCTGGAGAATGACGGTATCTACACAAACACCCTGTGTCAAGAGGAGGTGATGGGGATGCCCGGCCAACATTTCCCGGGAGAAGAGGTTTCCTACTTGTCCTAGCGGAGCAGCCCTCATGGGCAGAGGGTCCCTCCGGGGCCACCCCAGGGGACATCCTTGCGATCGCCCCCCGGGACATCCTTGCTGTGGCAGAGGAGGCGAAGGAATGTTGCAGGAGGTGGCTGCTGCTGTCCCATCACCGCAGCATCTCGGCGGTGTGACAGCCTCTGCCCGTGATGCCGGAGCCCAAGGCCATGGTGGCACCGTCCCCCGGCCCACAGGACCCCGAGAGCCCCCTGCCCCTGCCTTGCTTTGGCAGATTGACCTGCGCCTCTCGGCTGGCGGGGAGCCACATCCCTGATTCCTGCACAGGCTGAGGAGCGGGATGTTTTCCCGGCTCAGCAGCAAACACATTGCTTTGGGTTCAGATAAATCCAATAAAGAAATTCCTCTGTAAGCGCTCAGTCTGGAGGAGAGAGGGGACAATCTGGTGTGCCCACGCAGCCACGCTGCTGCTGTCGTCCCATTCGGGGGTCCCTGGGGCACCCCAGTACTGCTGGGGCTGGGTCAGGAGGGGGCAATGGGAACCGACACTCAAAGCAAGAGCGCCTGGGAAGGCGGCTGGAGCCCTGGCTGCCCAGCCTTTCCAGGAAGGCTTATCCACAGAAAGCAGGTTTGTAATCTCCAGTCACTTCTTAATTTTACATCTTGCTGCTATTTGCAGTGACTGGGCTCGCAGCCGGTCAGCCGGTTTGCCGGCAGTGAGCGGGGTTACTTGATGGTCAGAAGGAAAACGCAGAGCTTCCTCTTGCCATGGTGGGGGGACAGGGAGGGGACGGGATGGGGGGAAGGAGCAGCCTCAGCCTCCGGCAGGGCCAGGGGTTTGTGCTTTCTGCTCTTTCCAAGGGGTATTGAGGAAGAAAGCCGTTGGCAAGGCAGCTGCCAGGGAAGTGGCTTTGCTTTTTGTGTTTGGGTTTCTGAAACTTTCAGTGGAAACATTTAATTTTGGGAGAAAAACAGTGTTGTCACTCAAAACCCACGGCTGTGCCAAAAAAGGCATTTTTGGGGGGGAAATGAGACACTTCTGCTTGAGAAAACAAACAAAAGCGGTCCAGCTTGCACTGGCAGCCAGCTCGGGAGCCGGGGAGCAGCAGTGCAGTGGGGATGGCTGTCCGTCATCCCAGTCCACCATCCCAGTCCGTCATGCCCAGGAGAATATCCCGGTGGTCCCCACTGGTCCATCCGCAGGGGCTGACCTGCATTTGCTCTACCCCAGTCCCCAGACCCCAGCTCTGGCCTGGAGCCCCTGCAAAGCCCCCAGAAGCCCTTCAGGCTCTGTGCACGGGGAAGGGGCTGTGTTCCCTGCTGGGACAGGCGTTGTGGCAGAGGAATCCACTGCATTTTGTCATTTTGCTGGGAACCAGCGGCTGTTTCAGAGCAAAAGCAGAGAGTTTCTCATGAGACACTCCCAGGGTGAGTCATGGTCCCTGGGCAAAAGGGAAGAAGCAACCACCCTTAAAAGAGACATCCAGGGTCTGCGGGTAAACACTGCCCAAGGAATCGGCGGGAGAAGGAGGCTTGGGAAACGCCTGGGATGCCTGGGTGCGTGTGAACCTGGCTCCGTCTTGCAGGGTGCTTCATGAATAACCACGGCGAAAAATCCACATCGGAAGCGAGAAGCTGGAAAATGAGGATTTTCCTGGTTTGGACCCTTTTCCCAGGTGAGACCCGGGAGCACAGGTCGGGTGGTTCCCACCCCACCAGCTCTGCCAGAGCCGTGGAGAGGCTGGGACCGAGCCAGCCCAGGAAGCCCACCGCGGTCACGGCAAGAGCCCAGCTGATACCCTCCTTTTCCTGAACCCTGGTGATAAGGTTTTTTGCTTGTTTAACAACACGCACGGTTGATGTGGGCTCTTTTTTTCGTGACTGGGGACATCTCGTCTCAGCACCGCTCCCCGGCGCAGCAGGTGCACGGACACAGCCTCCCTGGGGACAGGGTGCCCCCGAACATCCTGGGCTCCGATCCCTCCCAGTTCCCCAAAGCGATGCCAGTACGTGCTTGCAGCACCTCTCCCTGTCCCCTGCAGGTGGCTGGGCAGTGACGGGCCCCGCGCAGGTGACGGCCGAGCAGGGCGGCTCGCTGGCTATGTCCTGTGGCTACGAGCCAGGCTACGAGCTCTACCCCAAGTACTGGTGCCGCCCAAGCTTCCTCTGGTTTTGCTTCATCTACATTGCCCAAACCAACGGCTCAGAGGTGACAGTGACGCAGGGCAGGGTGTCCATCGGGGACAACCACACAGCACGCTCATTCATGATTACGCTGGGCGGTGTCACGCCGGAGGACGCAGGCTGGTACTCTTGTGGGGTGAGGAGGAAACTGTGGTTCAGCATGGGGCACACCATCAAGGTGATGGTCTCCGCAGGTAAAGCCGAGCTGGGAGCAAAGCAGGGGTGTGCGATGGAGCCTGTCACTTGGGTCACAGCCCTGGGGACGGGGCCTCCCCAGCCAGGGGAACACAGGGGTTGTCGAAGCGGGGAGACCCACTGGAGGCTGCCCCAGTGCAAATTTGGATGAGGGATGGAGGAGGCTGTGCGGAGCCTCGTGCAGAGCAGAGCCTCTCCCTTGCTCCCGTTCAGTGTCTCTGCTTCCACAAGCCCATCCTTTGGGGTTTCCAGTCCCTCCCAGTTAAAGCCCCCCTTTCCCTCCTCCTCCTCCCCAGTGCCCAGTGCATTGCCTGGGGATCCCCATCTCCACCTCCAGCACCTCCACAGCTGAAGTCTTGGGGCAGAGACCCCCACGCAGGGGGCAGGACAGGCTGCGGGGGTCTCCACTTTGCTCTGACTCTCTGTTTTCTTCGCAGCTGCCTCAGCCACAACCAAGGGCAGCAACGTGAGCCCGTTGGCCACCACCACCCTGTGCCCCACGGGCTGTGGGGAGCCTCCAGTGCGGTGAGTCAGGGCTTGGGGTCCGGGCAAGCCCCCAGCAGCATCCCCCAGCCTAAGACACCTTTTCCCCTGCATGCATCCCCCAGCCCTGGGTCCCCCCCAGTTGCAGCAGCCCCAAGGAGCATCCTGGGGGCAAGCGGGTGGCTGGCAGACATGCAAGTGCCCCAGTCCCCATCTTCATCGCTCAGACCCTACTCAAGCTCTAGCATCATCATCTCCTTTCTCCTGCCCAGGTCTCAGCTTGGTGTCACCTACCTGCTGCTTTTCCTCAGTGTGAAGGTGCCCATGGCACTGGCCCTGGCATGCGGGGCTTTCTGGATGAGGAGCCAGCGTAGGAGCCGCGACTGGGAAAACCTGCAGGTCTTCGAGGTGGCTGGCAGCACCAGGGCACCAGGCTGTCCCCCTGCCCCGGAGCCACAGGGACACCCTCCTCTCCCCTTGCCCCCCACCCTGCCAGCGCTGTGCCCCCCAGCACGGCCGCCCTGTGCAGGGAGCTGCTCGGCACCAGGTGCTTCTCCCCCTGTGAAGCCTCGGCCCCTCCTGGCAGCCCCTGCACTGGAGAGGGGAGGATTTGGGGTGCACAGAGCCTGCGTCTGCTGAGCTGGAGCTGCCAGCTGAGGACAACTTTGCAATAAAGCCTGGGTATCCTGCAGGTGTCTGTCTGTCTGTCTCCCTCTTTTGGCTGCCGGCACCACCTGGGGCTCTGGTGGCTGCTGACGCTGAGGTGTGGGGCCGTGCGGGGACATGCTGCGGCGTGGCCGGGGGGGACATGGGCTCACAGGGTGCCACGCGGGTGCCTGCTCCACCACGGCCCGGCCGAGCCCCGGCACGAGCAGAGGAGCCCCCAGCCCTGCCCCATGCAACCAAATGCCCGTTTCCAGCCAAACATTTCCAAGCTCACCTGCAGCTGAGCGAGAGCCGGGGAGCAGTGTCCTTCCACAACTGTCTCCCCCACTACAGCAACTTTCCATCCTCAGCTTGAGAGCAAAGCTCACATCGCGCCCAGCTGCACCACGAGTTCCTTTTCTGATGAGTCCTATTAGTTTCCAGGTTCTGCATCTCCAAAAAGCAGGCACCTGCACACTGCTGAAACCCTGCAGAAACCCTGCTTTTGGTGTGTGGCACCAGCAGCCATATCAGGGAGAGCAGCATGGCCACCTCCATCCTCCCCGGGGCTACACCACATCCCACATTTCATGGCACAACCAGCTTCCCCGGTGTCCCCCCAGAAAGCTTTGGAGGAGAGTTTTTTCTCTTCAGCGTTGTTTAAGGAATAGAAATGCCAGAGGTGCCAGGGCACGCACCAGGAACAGCCAGCCTGCTCCAGCCCCACATGGCAAAACCTCCGCTGCACACAGCAGCTTGGCTGCCCAGGAGGGAGCCCGGCCACGGGCCCCGCACCTCGCTCTCCCTGCCGCTGCTGGAGCTGGGAGCCCACCCGCTGCCCCAGAAATACCATGTGTGGAAGGGATGGAGGTAGCAGCTCCGAGGCAGAGCCACAGGGAACTGCAGGGTTCCCAGGTTGTTCCCTGCAGGGGAATGGACCCGGGAGCAACTGCACAGGGATGCAGAGCAGCCCAGAGCCTGGCATGGGTGATGCTCAGGGCAGGGACCCTTTCGCCCGCTGTCAGGGGCCGGGGGCCAGGGTTCAGGGCCAGGCACAAGTCAGGGGCAGCTCAGTTGTGTCTCCACCAAGGAACACCCTCAGCACGGCTAAACTAGAACCAACCGCTGGCAATAAAGCTGTCTCCATGCCTTCACTGAGGCCAGAGCTGCAACGGTACCAGCAGCGGGTCCACATGTGAGGCTTTGGTCTGAGCTGGGACCAGCCCACAGCTGCAGGAGAAAGACCCTGTGACACCCAGCATGGGTCTGGTCCCCGTGGATGGGCTGCGTTTGTCCTGCCTGTCCCCACCTGTCCCCAAACCCTTCCTCGCCCTTGGGAGCTTCTTCCGAAGGGTTTGCCCAACCCAGTGCAGGCTCAGCAAGTTGCTGGTGGGTGGGAGGGAGGACGCTGCGGGGGAACCGGTGCTTCCAGGAGACAAGGGATGGGGACAGGGTGGGGAAGCCTGGAGAGACCCGATCAGGGCACTGGGCATGGGGCTACTGAGCCACAGAGGGGCTGTGCTGGGGACAGCCCGGGGGGCTGCGCTGGCCAGGGCAGCGGGGACGGGTGCTGTCGTCCAGCTGCACAGGGCCGGGAGGCTGGGGCTCCCCCTCTGCATTTCCCACGGCGGGGAGGACAGGGTGCCCCTGCAGGAGCACTGTGCCACCCTCGCCGCCCAGCCTGCGGGCACTTTTGGGGCTCGGGGGGTCCCCGTGCGGGGCTGAGCCACCCCTTGAGAGGCAGATCCCCCGCTGGGCACCCTGCCTGGCCAGAGAGGCCAGGCGGTGTGGCAGTGAGGCAGGGAGAGTCAGGACTGCACCCCGCCATGGCGGCTGTGCCGGGGGCGGAAAGGGGAGCCCCTGGGCAGGGGCAGGAGCGGGGGCAGGAGCGGGGACAGGAGCAGGACAGCAGGGCTCAAGGGACAGCGCACGGCAGTGCTCTCAGCAACAGTGTATTGGGTTTGCGTGGCAAGGTTTTGGCAGCGGGGGGGCTACAGGGGTGGCTTCTGTCAGAAGCTGCCAGAAGCTTCCCCTGTGTCTGACAGCCCACGCCAGCCGGCTCCAAGATGGACCCGCTGCTGGCCAAGGCCGAGCCCATCAGCGATGGTGGCAGAGCCTCTGGGATAACAGATTTAAGAAGGTGGGGGGAAAAATCTGTGCAACAACAGCAGCCAGAGAGAGAAGTGAGAATATGTCAGAGGAGCAGCCCTGCAGACACCGAGGTCAGTGCAGAAGGAGGGGCAGGAGGTGCTCCAGGCACCGGAGCAGAGATTCCCCTGCAGCCTCTGGGGAAGACCATGGTGAGGCAGGCTGTCCCCTGCAGCCCATGGAGGTCCACAGTAGAGCAGATCTCCACCTGCAGCCCATGGAGGTCTACGGTGGAGCAGAGATCCACCTGCAGCCCATGGAGGGCCCCACACCAGAGCAGGGGGACGCCCGAAGGAGGCTGTGACCCCGTGGGAAGCCCACGCTGGAGCAGGCTCCTAGCAGGACCTGTGGCCCCGTGGAGAGAGGAGCCCAGGCTGGAACAGGTTTGCTGGCAGGACTGGTGACCCCGCAGGGGACCCACACTGGAGCAGTCTGCTCCTGAAGGGCTGCACCGCGTGGAAGGGACCCACGCTGGAGCAGTTGGTGAAGAACTGCAGCCCGTGGGAAGGACCCACGTTGGAGAAGCTGGTGGAGGGCTGTCTGCCGTGGGAGAGACCTACGCTGGAGCAGGGGCAGAGTGAGAGGAGGCCTCCCCTGGGGAGG